ATTTTCAATTTTTTTTTCTTAATAAAGGATTTTGTTTCAATTGATAATAATATTCGTTTAAAAGTTCCAACTGAATATCAGTGATTTAACTTCAACAGAAATATTCATTCGATGAAATAGAAATCCAATCTTATGAAAACTTTTTAATTTTCTATACAGTTATTTGGCTTTGTCTTAACGAGTTTTCAGATAATAACAGTACAGTCGTATTCAACCGACTTGTTGATCTTGCGTTTCCAAGATAACGAATATGTTCATTTGAATAATGTACTCTAATCAATGTTCAAAAGTCGTATCTTTAGTTAATGTTAGACAATTTCAGTCACTGTTACCAAATGTTAAATTTTGGTGCTAATTTGAGCTTTAACGTCGAGGAAAATAATTCTATGATTTATGATTCACATTAATTGCTTTTGTTTTTTCGATGATGATGATGAACAGAATTCTTTTTTGGTCATTGATTTTATTTTTCACTTTTCCTTCATCATTATTTATCAATCATTTGAATTTCAAATCATCTCTTCTGATCCAAAAAAAAGAGAAAAAAAGAATATGTATTGCCTATGAAGGAGTGTATATGAACAAAGGACAAGTGTTCACATCCATGCACATGAAAAACGATTAAATCAATTCGTGTCTCATCATTTCAATTAATCATATGATGATTAATCAATTATATTTGAATGTGTACATCATCATCAATTATCGTTCGTCAAATTGATATTAGCATCACTAGAATGTCTTTGATTGGCAATGTATGTTTAAAAACATATATATATAAGAAACACATTTTCACCGGTACTCTCATACGATTCGATCGAATAAACCATCAGCATGCTCAATAAAGATAAAACATGACACTCACGTGATTTATTTTTCACGGATTACAATTTTTTATATTACTTACAATAATTAGTATTATTTTACATTATGATTTTTCATGAATGACATTACAATTATCAATTTATAATTACTTAGAATATTATAAGTGAAATATATTTACAATGCTACTTATGAGTTTATAATGCATTAAAGTGTATACATTTATAATGAAATTTATTACATAATGTTATGTTAACCCTTTGAATTCTGTAGTAGGAAAAAGAAATCTATACATATTTAATAATTATTATGTAATCTACTGGAATGTAGCAATAACGAATGTTCAACGGTGTGGATGTGGTGGGTATCGAGTTAGTAGATAGGGGTGTGTAGGTGTGCGCGCGTGAATCCGTATATGAGCATGTTGGTTTTTATCTAGACGTGTCAGTGTCCAGTAGAAATAATTTGGGACGCAAAGGATTACAATACATTAATTTCTGATGATATTTATTGATCGATATTATATAATGATGCATTTTTTGTGTACTCAAAAAGTGAGTATACTCTAGAATCGGTCAGTATGTCCGTCCGGCCGTTTACACGATAACTTTTGAAAGGAGAGTCCGATTGCGATGAAATTTTCTACAGTTTAGTCTCAACAATATCTCGATCGAGTTCGAAGATGAGAAGGATTGGCCGAGCCGTTGCTGAGTTATTGGAAAAATAGTCATTTTTTCCCACGCCTTCCTATGCGAGAATCGACCTATCCCCGCTTTCGTAAAGAACTTTTCCTATTATAGTCAAATCAAACCCCAACTATTATACACCATTCGATAGAGAATTTCACGAGCTACAAAATGGTATATAAAACATAAAGAAATAAGAAGACTAACTCGCCTATAGCAAGGGTAATTAAACGGGAATTGGTTCTGTTTGTGTTCACACTCTAATTGATACACAATTAGAGCTCTGTCTTTCGATCATGGAGATGACAGTTCGAAGTTTTTTGGGCCGGAGAACTCCAATCTGAGCTCTGTTTGCCTCGAACTCCTATTGGTTGAGCAGTAACCAATAGAAATCAAGTTATCGGAAAAACGACTTTCCTAGGGTAAATCAAGGCGAATAGTCCAAATCTGAGCCCTATTCATCTCTAAATCCTAGTGGTTGACCAGTAGCCAATAGAAATCAACTGCTTATAGAAAAGGTTTGCCAGGATAATTTTTATGCCCACACATTCTAGGATGACTAATCAGTCTCATTCACTTTTTGAAGTACACATAACTCTCGGGTTTAAATCCGAGGTTTCCACATTTTTTTTAGAACGAAATCTATTGATTGGTGTTATTAAAATTCATTTCCGTACAATTCAATAAATGCATTATATTACAATAAAATCTATCGATTTTATGATGTATTAAAATATTTTGATTTACAATGAAACTTATTGTATGATATTGTGTTACAATGCATTATTTTAAAATGAAAAATATAAGTTTATGATGCATTAAAATGTATCAATTTACAATGAAATTTATTATATGATATTATGTTAAAATTCATTAATTTACAATGATATTCATTGAATCATATTATTTTAGAATGAAATTTATTGAATGATGTTATTTAAATCCATTGCTTTACAATGAACTAATTTATAATGAAATTCATTCATTCAATGATGTTATATTATGATTCATTTTTTTTACAGTGTTTATGATTTCAATCATAAAACATGTTAGGATATATTGATTTATCATAGAAATTCATTCTATGATGTTTTTAAAATTCATCTGTTTGTTTTTTGATTTATATGAAATTATAAAAAACATGAGAATGTTAAAAAAGAATATGATTTATTATTGATTTATACCAATAACAAGAATCGATATGTTGCTTCAAAAATTATCTTATTTATCTTTAGAAAGACTTGAACAAATAAATAAATAGTTGAAACATTGAAAAAAAACTTCTTTTCTGTTTCCTTGGAAGAACAATAATAAAATTAAATTTTCATAACAATACTTACATTGAGATAATGTTAGAATGAGATATAGATGATTCATTTTGGTTGAAATAATTTTTTTCATCGTTATTGCACACATTTAGTGTATATTATTATTATTATGTTAAGTCTATGTTATTTATGTTAGAAGATAGATACGAATTTATATCACAGTCCTATCAGGTGGCTTCGTAACCTGATCCAGAGAGAGATTCTGTTCGTCATGGATTGGCGAAAGCAGTGTAGTACTCGGGAAGGCCTTTAATGTATTTAGGTCCCCGTCGTCATTATGTACGCTACACCTATGTACATTGCCCTACCAGTCCGGCGTGGTCCGCTGTGTGTCTATTCCTTTCATACGCATAGGACCTCTCTCTGGTCGCGCGCGCGCGTACGCGTGAAAATGAGCCTAGAAAAGTCGAGAAGTGAAAAGGCATCAAAACCAATTTACTCAGCAAGTAAACGAAAAAAAAATAAATTACATTTCCTTTCGAATTTGTTCAAAAGTTTCTTTATATTCCAAAAGATGAGGATGAGTTGAAGGTAATATTTCTTGAGCTATTTCAACTGCTTGTTGAATATTTCTCATTGCCATACTATATTTTTGTGTAGCCAAATATAATTTTGCCATATTATGATATACAACAGCTAAATCAGGATGATTTTTTGGTAATTTCTTCTCACGTATTTCTAATCCTTCTTCGAAATATGTCAATGCCGTTGAATAATTTTTCATTTCACGATAAGTTTCACCTAAATTTATATATGTCATTGCACATTCCAGAGGATTACATTGAACATTTTCTTGTATACATAATGCTTTTTGATGAAATGCAAGTGCCGTTTCATAATTACTTATTAATCGATGAACATCACCAACATTACTAAATGCAAAAGCCACATCCGGATGATTGTCAGGTAAGGCTTTTTTCCATATTCCGAGACATTTTTCGAAATTCTCAAGTGCTTTTGGATAATTTTTCATGCTGCGATAAATTTTTCCGAACCAGTTGTATGGCAAAGCCAGATCAGGGTGATTCGCAGGCAGAGCATTTTCGAAGATTTGATGTGATTTTTCGAAAAATACAAGTGCTTTCGAGTAGCCACCTATGTCATGATATACTTGACCGATATTGTTGTAGGATTGAGCCAAATCCGGATGATTCGAAGGGAGAGCTTTTTCTCTTATTTGATGTGATTTTTCGTGAAATTCAAGTGCTTTCGAGTAGTCTCCCATGTGGTTATACACGAGATCAATGTTATTGTAGGAAATAGCCAAACCTGGATGATTCGGAGGTAGAGCTTTTCTCGTGATTTCGAGATCTTCTTCATACAATTCAAGTGCTTTCGAGTAGTTACCCATGTGGTGATACGCTGTACCCATGTTATTGTAGGAAGTAGCCAAACGTGGATGGTTTGGAGGCAGAGCTTTTTCGAGGATTTTATGTGATTTTTCGTAAAATTCAACTCCTTTCGAGTAATCGCCCATGTTGTTATGCACTTGGCCGATGTTGTTGTAGGACGCAGCCAAATCAGGATGATTCGAAGCCAGAGCTTTTTCTCTTATTTTAAGTGATTTTTCGTAAAATTCAAGTGCTTTCGAGTAGTCACCCATGTCGTTATACACACCACCGATGTTGTTGTAGGAAGTAGCCAAATTGGGATGATTTGGAGGCAGAGCTTTTTCATAGATTTGATGTGATTTTTCGTAAAATTCAAGTGCTTTCGAGTAGTCACCCATGCACTTATACACTGCACCGATGTTGTTGTAGGATTGAGCCAAATCAGGATGATTCGGGGGGAGAGCTTTTTCTCTTATTTTATGTGATTTTTCGTGAAATTCAGCTGCTTTCAAATAGTCACCCATGGTGTGATACACTTCACCGATGTTGTTGTAGGAAATAGCCAAATTGGGATGATTTGGAGGCAGAGCTTTTTCTTTTATTTTACGTGATTTTTCGTAAAATTCAACTGCTTTCGAATAGTTACCCATGCTGTTATGCACTCCACCGATGTTGTTGTAGGACAGGGCCAAACCGGGATGATTCGGAGGCAGAGCCTTTTCTCTTATTTGATGTGCTTTTTCGTAAAATTCAAGTGCTTTCGAGTAGTTACCCATGTGGTAATACACTCCACCGATGTTGTTGTAGGAAGTACCCAAATCTGGATGATTTCGAGGCAGAGCTTTTTCGTAGATTTTATGTGATTTTTCGTAAAATTCAAGTGCTTTCGAGTATTCACTCATGTCGTCATACACTCCACCGATGTTGTTGTAGGACAGAGCCAAATCCGGATGATTCGGTGGCAGAGCCTTTTCGTTTATTTTATGTGATTTTTCGTAAAATTCAAGTGCTTTCGAGTAGTCACCCATGTCGTTATAGACTGCACCGATGTTGTTGTAGGAAGTAGCCAAAGCAGGATGGTTCTGTGGCAGAGCCTTTTCGTTTATATGATGCGATTTTTCGTAAAATGCAAGTGCTTTCGAGTAGTCACCCATGGCGTTATACACTCCACCGATGTTGTTGTAGGACGTAGCCAAATCGGGATGATTTGAAGGCAGAGCTTTTTCTTTTATTTTATGTGATTTTTCGCAAAATTCAAGTGCTTTCGAGTAGTCACCCATGGCGTTATACACTGCACCGATGTTGTTGTGAGAAGTAGCCAAATTGGGATGATTCAGAGGTAGAGCTTTTTCGTAGATTTTATGTGATTTTTCGTGAAATTCAAGTGCTTTGGAGAAGTCACCCATGTTGTTATACACTTGACCGATATTATTGTAGGACGTAGCCAAATCGGGATGATTCAGAGGAAGAGCTTTTTCGTAGATTTTATGCGATTTTTCGTAAAATTCAAGTGCTTTGGAATAGTCACCCATGTCCTTATACACTCCACCGATGTTGTTGTAGGAAGAAGCCAAATCGGGATGATTCTGAGGCAGAGCTTTTTGTCTTATTTTATATGATTTTTCGTGAAATTCAAGTGCTTTCGAGTAGTCACCCATGTCCTTATACACTCCACCGATGTTGTTGTAGGAAGTACCCAAATCGGGATGATTCGAAGGAAGAGCTTTTTGTCTTATTTTAAGTGATTTTTCGTAAAATTCAAGTGCTTTCGAGTAGTCACCCATGTCGTTACACACTCCACCGATGTTGTTGTAGGAAGTAGCCAAATCGGGATGATTCCGAGGAAGAGCTATTTCTTTTATTTGCTGCGATTTTTCGTAAAATTCAAGTGCTTTCGAGTAGTCACCCATGTCCTTACACACTCCACCGATGTTGTTGTAGGAAGTAGCCAAATCGGGATGATTCCGAGGAAGAGCTGTTTCTTTTATTTGATGCGATTTTTCGTAAAATTCAAGTGCTTTCGAGTAGTCACCCATGTCGTTATACACTCCACCAATGTTGTTGTAAGAAGTAGCCAAATTGGGATGATTCGAAGGAAGAGCTTTTTGTCTTATTTTAAGTGATTTTTCGTAAAATTCAATTGCCTTGTAGTAGTCAGCCATTTTGTTATAAACTGCACCGATGTTGTTGTAAGAAGTAGCCAAATCGGGATGATTTGGAGGCAGAGCTTTTTCTTTTATTTTATGTGAGTTTTCGTAAAATTCAAGTGCTTTTGAGTAGTCACCCATGTGCTTATACACTCCACCGATGTTGTTGTAGGAAGTAGCCAAATGGGGATGATTCGAAGGAAGAGCTTTTTGTCTTATTTTAAGTGATTTTTCGTAAAATTCAAGCGCTTTCGAGTAGTCACCCATGTCCTTATACACTGCACCGATGTTGTTGTAGGAAATAGCCAAATCGGGATGATTCTGAGGCAGAGCTTTTTCTATTATTTCATGTGATTTTTCGTAAAATTCAAGTGCTTTGGAATAGTCACCCATGTTGTTATATACTTGACCGATGTTGTTGTAGGAGAGAGCCAAACTCGGATGATTCGGAGGCAGAGCTTTTTCATAGATTTTATTTGATTTTTCGTAAAACTCTAGTGCTTTTGAGTAGTCACCCATGTCGTTATACACTGCACCGATGTTGTTGTGAGAAGTAGCCAAATCGGTATGATTCGGAGCGAGAGCTTTTTCTCTTACCGCATGTGATTTTTCGTAAAATTCTAGTGCTTTCGAGTACTCGCCGATGTTGTTATGCACTTGACCGATGTTGTTGTAGGAAGTAGCCAAATCAGGATGATTCTGAGGCAGAGCTTTTTCTCTTATTTGTTGTGCTTTGTCGTAAAATGCAAGTGCTTTCGAGTAGTCACCCATGGCGTTATACACTGCACCGATGTTGTTGTAGGACAGAGCCAAATTGGGATGATTTGGAGGCAGAGCTTTATCGTAGATTTGATGTGATTTGTCGTAAAATTCAAGTGCTTTCAAGTAGTCACCCATGTTGTTATACACTAGACCGATGTTGTTGTAAGACATAGCCAAATTGGGATGATTTGGAGGCAGAGCTTTTTCGTAGATTTTATGTGATTTTTCGTAAAATGCAAGTGCTTTTGAGTAGTCACCCATGTCGTTATAGACTGCACCGATGTTGTTGTAAGAAGTAGCCAAAGCAGGATGGTTCTGCGGCAGAGCCTTTTCTATTATTTGATGCGATTTTTCGTAAAATTCAAGTGCTTTCGAGTATTCACCCATGGTATTATGCACTATACCGATGTTGCTGTAGGAACTAGCGAAATTGGGATGATTCGGAGGCAGAGCTTTTTCTCTTATTTTAAGTGCTTTGTCGTGAAATTCAAGTACTTTCAAGTGGTCGCCCATGTTGCTATACACTTGACCGATGTTGTTGTAAGAAATAGCCAAATCGGGATGATTTGGAGGCAGAGCTTTTTCTCTTATTTTAAGTGATTTTTCGTAAAATTCAAGTGCTTTCGAGTAGTCACCTATGGCGTGATACACTTGACCGATATTGTTGTAGGACTGAGCCAAATCGGGATGATTCTGAGGGAGAGATTTTTCTCTTATTTGATATGATTGTTCGTAAAATTCAAGCGCTTTCGAGTAGGCACCCATGTCGTTATATACTGCACCGATGTTGTTGTAGGATTTAGCTAATTCAGGATCATCTTCTGTGAGTGTTGTATGCTTGATTTCGAGGGACTTTTCATAAAATGAAGCTGCTTCTTTGTACTGTGCTTTTGCGTGTTTGGATTGTGCAAGCTGATGATAGATGTATGCTGTCTCACTGTCATTGGACGAGTTCTTCAGCAATCCATTGTAGAGTTCTTCGGCTTTATTGAAGTGTCCCACGGTGAACATAAGATCACCCAATCGTTGCCATCCTGTGGATCCATAGAGCTCGCTGCGTATGCTGCGTGTGAGAGCAGCTAAGTGTTGATCATTATCATCTGTGAGAGTCAATTGTACTTCCCAGAGGCAACTATTGTTGGTGATCTGTTTAATTTCGACGATACGAAAAACAGTGTGCATTGAGAAGAGTATTTCTTGTTCTTCGTTGAAGTAACTCACTTGTTGGATGGAGGCGAATGGTATTGATCTGATGGTTGGATCAATAAACATTTGAAAGAGAATGCCCACCATATCGCTTGCTGTTGAGGCACTTTCAGCGAAGGCAAGGGAAACCTGTCGATTTCCACTAGTGGATAGAAAATTGTTAAAGGACATGAAACCACTTTTTGTTGTCTGGAGTTTTTGAAAGTCAGGGATGGATAATCCCTGCCCTCGGTAAACAATAATGGGCTCTCTCTCAGAACCTCTTGTTTGTTGTTTGTGTAATTCTTCTATTTGACAATGTAGATCACGAATAAAGAAGCCTATTTTCATAATCGTTTCAGATTCCAATGTTCGAAGAGACCAGTTGATCATCCGATAGAGGAAATATTCCCGAGTGTACCACCAAATTGATGATTGTGGATGATAATCACGTTCGAATTCATCGATAGGGTCCAGTGTAATGGTATTGTTGGTGTATTCGTTGCGCCAGAATAGAATAAAATCCTTAATTGCTTGTTCAGTATAGTCGATTTCAAGGAGAATTTCTTTGAACAGTTGAGTATACATAAACGAAGGTTCAAGTTCGTTCAGATTTTGGTTGAAGCTCTCTTGATGTACATTGAGAAAGCTTATCGAGATGTCATCTTGATTACGTCGTTGGATGGCCACTTTTAGTGCTTTACAGATGGGTGTAATTTCCGTATATATGCCCTTAATTTTGTTCCAATCCTTGTTGCAATCTTCGTATCGAGCGTTGTTTCCAGAAAAGACATAAATGCTATCAACATGAGAAATATCATGGATGAAGGACACCATTTGTTGTCGCATGTCATCCGCTACAATGAGAAATTCCTTTCTATCATCGACTTTGGTGAGGAAGTCAATACATTGATCGATCTGCGTGAAGGTGTGAACTTCGTTGACTATGCTTTGAAGTTGTGCCAAAATGCTTTGATAATCTTTATTACCTTGGTCAATATTGGCATCTAACCATATCAGAAAGAAATCTTGGAAAATGCGGCGTTCTGGACGAATGCTAGCCGACTGTGCTGATGTTGTTGTCGATGGGATCCTTGAAGATGTAGACATAGGCTTGTTTGGTTTTTGTACATCCATATTATTCTGAATAATAAGTTGATCGTCAATTGAAAATTATAAATAATTTTTTTGTCACTCACACATACACTACTTCGTCTCTGTATATATCTATTTAGCGTCTTTTTCTCTCTATTTTTCTACTACCCACAATGTTTTATGTTTTTCGTTCACACCTAAGAACGAACCCTACTTGTTTTTATTAAAAATATTAAGGTAAAAAATACAAGAGAAACAGAGAGAAAAAGAATAAAAATATTTATTCGTTGGAGACATCTGAACGAACAGAAAAAATCAATCGCATCATTTTTCGTTTTGCTATTTTTACAAAATTTCTCTTGCTTTTCTCTGCGCACAATAATTTTAGTAATAATGCGTGGGATATAGTTTCTCCGTCAGTGACTTTGGTAAGAAAATCATCATTCATTAGTCATTTTTTCATTGACTCCTTTCATGACTTTCTTCTTTCTGTGCCTTGCATGAGACTGCTCTGAAAGCATTCAAGCTTAACATGACAAGAACGAAAAAAAATCATCGTTACTTCTATTTTTTTTGCATTATACAGTAAAACATTTAACGTCTGCTACACTTCACTAACCTTCTTTTTCTTTTCTCTTGTGTCAACATTATATAATGTTGTGTTTAAGGTAACTCAATGAGGACAAGGTAGTCAACAATATCCGAGTCTGAAGGTGAAAAGATGACAATCTTCCGTTCATATTACACTAAATGTCTGTCAGTGCGAATAGCTTCTGACAATCAATCTTGTTATCTAACTGGAAGCAATTTAGACGCCAGGTTGTGGATGTGGGTGTCGGTGTATAGGTCTTCTCTTCATTCACACACACCCACCCACCCCCACCCTTTTTTCCGATGAGACCAAGAAGCTCTATGCAGCTTCGATAGTAATGAATATTTTCGCCAGCTGGTGAGATTGACAAATACAATCAAATATTGATGGCAGACCGATTCATCATGTGTAGATTTATAACATTGGGAAAAAGTATAAGGTCAACAGTCTTGCGCAAAGAAAAGTGTACCTCGGCTAATTGCATTCGAGCATGGTCTCTCCAAGGATGAAGTTAAATTTGATCAATATGACTTTCAAGTTGGAGAAAACAGATGACTATGGAAGCCCATCAGATTCCTGTCTGCGAAAGATTCTGGAGTCATTCTTGACTTTGAGCTACTTTTGTACGCAAGAGAGAGGATTGTTCGGACGAAAAATTTATAAAAGCAGATAGATCAACTGTTCTTGAGCATTTTATTTTCAGAAGTTAGAAAGGTCATTTACACTTCGAGTGATTTCCAAGCTTGATTGAGTAATCCAAAATTCTTTGAAAACATCGGACGAGTTTAACATTTTCGGCTACACCATTTGAAATAGACGTCGAATTCATTTTTCAAAACGAATGTCAATGTAAGACAGTGTTTGCTTCAAAATAGCATAGTTACGAGCTCTGTATACCATTCCGTTACAAAATGCCAATTCTTGGAAAAAAAATATGCCACTTGTTTGCAATAGAAATGTGCAGAAACGGCCTGTAATCATTTAATTCTATCGATGTTGATTTTGACAGTGGTTGGCGTTATTTTGATGACATACAGAGCTCGCGAATAATCCATTTTCAAGCAAATAGTAATTATCTTATATATGGATTTATTTTTGGAAAAATTACTTCGACCTCTATTTGAAATGGTATAGCCGAAACACTCTGAGGCTAAATACGATACTAACTCATTCATGTGTCGCATTGTACTAAATTCGAGATGTTTCAGTCTAACTTCACTTGATTCATTTCTCATGAAATAAGTGATGAATCATTTTTAGCACATACTATATGAATCAATCATGAGTAACATTAGGCTCTTGAAACATTTGGATCCGGTTATCTTTAGAATGAAGAATATTCTAAAACTTTCTTGAACTATCTGCAAGTTAACAAATGTATGAGTCAATGGTTTAAAAATAGTAGATAAAGTTTAAACAAAATAACTTTGCACTATAAATCGTATCTTTCTACTTAATGTAATTTAAGTGAACATGATATCGATGAATGCCACTGATCAAGAGGCCCCAGTCGAAATCATAACCGCAGGATCTTTCAGAATAGCTGAACATCTCACTATGTTGAATGAAAGATCTTTCCATTCCAGCTCGTATATCTAAATATTTCTCTAAACGATTGGCGTCAAAATTCTCTGTTTAATAGCATGTTTGACATGATCTAGCTGTGTATGGATTTTTCTCTTGAAACATGTGATAGATTTGTACAAAAAGCAGTATCAATACATTCGAATATAGTGATTTTTTGATCTTTAAAACTATTTCGATACGTTGCCTGTTCGAAGAACTATTCTTGAAAATCAATGCTCATTAATATGATATGATAATTTTGTCATAGATTTTAAACATGTTGAACTTGGCTGCATTCATCGAACTGGCATGACATACGCATCAAAATTAAATTTCTAGAAGACCTAATCGAATTAGATAAGAAACAAGATTGTGGAAAGTTCGTAACATAACATTGGTAAGTACTGATCACTACTTTAGACGACTCCATCATTTGTTTTTTGAAAAATAAAATTCTAACCCAGATAAAGTCAAGTAGGCCTCTACTAGGAAACTTTACGGCGCATCCCTCATATAAGCATTCGATCAAAATACTAAGAGTTTGAGGGTGTGGGTGTTGGTGTTGGTGTTGGTGTGTGAGTGTGCTTAAAGGTCTTCTTTTCACTTGAGCCCACACCCAAATACGTACCTCCATTTATATAATATAATTTTATTGTTATATCCCATCGCATGTGGGACGACTGAAATCAATTAATACCTAAATATTAGAATATAATGTTGTGTTACCTTCTAATAATATTAGATATTTATATGTCATCGTCATCGTATGGACACAACTGAAATTAACTAGCATGACAGATATACAATACCTTTTTCGATCATGGTTAAATATTTAATTTATTACTATGATCTCTTTTACTCTGATAACATTAGTAATACTGTACATTTCATAATTGATACAATCTAATATGAATATATATATCAATACTAATATTCTTATAGAACTTATTAAATAACTGCATCAAGCAAAATTTATTAAACGATTTTCTTAAAAAAATTTTCGTATTACCCGATTGTCGATATTTATCAAGCAAAATTTATCGATTCATCGATTGATAAGATTCAAAATACCAGTATAGCAAAATTAATCGTGTTGCATAATTGGCAACCGTAGTCAATTAAAATTCCCATTGTCTATACCTTCAAAGCCAAATAAGTTATATTATACAGAATTGATAAAATATATACAAATCGCTACTTATTACCCATCTTGCATGGGACATTAAATATACTTAATTAATTTTAATTAATTTTAAGCTTGCTGGTATATAGAAGGGTGTATTGATTAATACAATCTACAGAAGTATCTTCACCCTGCTTTATTTAA